CCGTTATTTTAGTGCCAATAATCAACGGCATTGGGACGTGCATATCATCCGGAAGATCACGTAGAAACTCTAACTGCACGGAACGCGTCCCTTGAAGAGTACGAATTTTTTCCCTTTTTTCATTCAGTGATCGTCGCTCCTCATCAAAAAATGCCATGGAACATCGACGGGGCTTGCCCATGAGCCGTCTCAGAAGAGACCAGTGCGCTCGAGAAAGACGACGGGTTTTAACGTTGGGAAAGTTTTCACGAAGACATATCCGAAAGTCATTTTCCCCTAGAAGCAGAGGTCTTTGAAGTCGCAAGAGAAATTTGATTAAATATTTAATCCAAATACCTGTCTAAGTTTGAATAAAACCATTCGTAAAAAACCCATTTATGGGCCTTTGGAAGTTTTAAAACGTTCCTCAGTCGAACAGCATTAACTTGCGCTACACGACGCTCTGGATGTTGTACAAGTCCATGCCAGGGAGAACGACCAGCAAGCGACTTGTGCTATCAAATGCGACCATGAAAATGACAGTGTAGTAAACTCACCAACTTGTGAGGCTTTCGGATTTTTTGAGATATGCTGTCTGTTGGTGGGTGTGGCCTCTGAGAGGGGAAAAGGCGAGGTCTGTAGTGGGAAGAAGGCTCATAATAATCCTCGAAGTAGCGGCTCTTTTTTCTGATCCGTGGGGGCTGAAAGAATATGATTCGAAAACAAATGTCTCACATTTTTTCTGTATGAAGATCCGTACTCCTCCAAGTCATCTAGAAAGATGAAATACACATTAAGACTTAATAGAACTTACAGGAACCGATGTCCTCAGACATTTTGAAAAAGCGTGAGCCTCGAAGGCGCCAAATTGATGCGTTTTAAGAAATTCAGTTCAGTATGCACAAGACGAAAAGTGGCTTCGAGGCAATCAAGCGTTCAGATTAAGGTGTCGATGGCGAGTGTCTTTAGCTTCCCAAACTGCTTATAGCCGATCCCAGAGAGTTCCAATCCAATCCAATCCAATCTTCCAGGACGTAGAGGCCTCGGCCTTATGGTTGTC